AGAACCCATCGGCGGCACGGAAGAGACGACCAAGTTACCCAGGAGCGTGGATGGAAGGCGGCTCAGACGACGGGAGTAGTGTGGAAGAGGAACCAGAGTTGGAGGAATCTGCACGACAAGAACCGGAAAGGAAGGAAGAAGATCTGTCAGTAAAAGAAGTATTTCCTAGAATTATGGACAAATCCAAAGTTGGGGGGGGACTTAAGAAGAAGTTTTTAAAGCAAAGTTTTACACTAACTTTGGAAGAGCTCCTATTGATAGCACCCAAATTTCTTCAAGAATTGCAGACCTTTCCGGAGGAGGAACCAAAAACAGTGAATAGAAGCCAAAACTCTGGGAGATGCGACCATCGAGATTTTGAGGACGAAATTAAGCGACAGCGCCGAATGAATTTAGATTTGAGCGAGAATGCACTAACTTATGCTTGCCCGCTAGGATTTATTGACATCGTGATCGGAGGTATACAGGTGAAGGCTCTAGTGGACACAGGTGCAGAAATGAATATTATGCCGGAAGGATTGGCCATACAGTTGAAGTTACCGGCGCGTGAGATCAGTATGAACATCATGGGTATTGGAGGACATTCGACACCCATAGTTGGCTTGGCGGAAGGAATCCATTTCTGCATAGATTCTGAAGATGAGAAGGCTGCAAATTTCTTTATTGCTCGAGGTAAGGTTTATACGGTGTTGGGAAGGCCCTTCCTGGCTGATCACAAGGTACGTCTAGAGTTATCCAAAAACCGAGGTGAGATACTGAGCTACGAATTAGAGGATGGCGGAAGATTATGTATCCCCATTTGTTCTCCAAAGATTCCAGGATGGGAGATGGCACCTCCGCGTAGGATAGCAGATAAGTGTTTTAGCATGAAAGTAGACTGTTATGTGGATGCCGGGAGTATACCACATATGAGAGGACCGACCGGAGTTGGAATCGAACTAGAGGAGACCTTGGATCAAGACGGCAAACAGACGGAAACGGACAGCCCCGAACGCCATGGATCAGCTAGCTGGAAGACAGATTCCTTATACG